CATCATTACTCCGGTCTTCAGTGTCACATGATCCTTCAGAAATCATTCTAATATGCTGATTTGCTTTTTGTAGAAATTGTGATACAGGATTTGATAAATAGAAAGTTCAAAAGGACAACATTTATTAGAAATAAAAAATCTTTTGTAATATTAGAAATGTCTTTATGATCACTTTTGAAAAAATGTTATGCATTCTTGCTGAAAAAAAGTATTAAAACCCAAATAAAACCCAAACTTTTGAACAGTAGTGTAAATGTTAATGAGAACTTTCAACATTGATAGAATGATTTCTGAAGGATCATGTGACACTGAAGACTGGAGTAATGATGCTGAAAATTCAGTTTTGCATCATAAGAATCAATTGCATTTTAAAATATATTCAAATAGAAAAGTTATTTTAAATTTTAATAATATTTCCCTGTTTTTACTGTATTTTTGATCAAGTAAATGCAGCTTTGGTGAACATAAGAGACGTCTTTCAAAAACATAAAAAAAATCTTGCCGACCACAAGCTTTTGATTGGTCCTGTAGCTCTTGAATCTCATTTGCATATGTACATATTTAAATCAATAACAACAAATATACCGTCATTCCTCAAACAAAGATATTTTATGGCTTCAGAAGACTTGAAATATGGCATAAAAGTTGCCTTTTTGTCCTTTTTAGAGCTTGTTCACTGTATTTGTGAATTGTATAGAAACAAAAAGCTTGGACATTCTTCAAAATATCTCATTTTGTGTCATAATGGTGAGTAAATGATGATAGAAGTTTAATTTTTGGTTGAACTATCCCTTTAAACGTACCTTGAGGCTTTGGCCCAGGTAAAGGTGGGCGTGTTTTAGGGGGTGGAGGCGGGACGTCCTGAGGTCCGTCCTCACTTGTGCCATTGCAGTGCTGTGGTTCCAGGGGTCCAGGGTCAGAGCAGAGGCGCTGTGGGGTCTCGTGGGCTCCGAGGCAGGGGCCTGGCTCAAGGGACAGACTCTTGGTTAGCAGCCGTGGACTGGCGGTGGACGGGCCTGACAGAAAGAGAGAGTGCAGACTCGCTTTGATTTGGAGAATAAAGGGAATCTGAATAAAGGGAATAAACCATGGCTGATGTTCTTTATCAGTTACAACCAATAACTTGTTATTGGTTTCATTTGAGTAGGTTTTGGCCAAAATGAGACTTGTTTTAAAATTCAGATTAGTTTGAGTTGAAATACACCACTCTCTCTTTCATAGCCAGAGCTTTGTGATTTAACAGCAGCATGTACACAATACAGTGCATTCCCATCAGGGTGGTAAATGTGAATAAAATTGGCTTTGGCAAGAAAATAAAACAGTTACTTGTAAACGATTTGAGTCATTGCAAATGAACAACCAAAACAGTCATGCATTTCCTAACAACTTTTAACATCAGAAGATTTTGTAGGATAATGAACGTTTTTCTCCAGAACAACATGGGAATGAAGCCACCACAACAATGAGAAAAAATAATATAAGAAACAAAAACATGATGTGTTTATTTTCAGTTTTACAGACGCTAGAGAGTTGGAGTTAGAGACTACAAACTTGCTGTGGTTAATGTTGAGACTGTCCTCTATCAGTGTGCCAAATTTCACAACTTTCCCGCAAGCGGTTCTATGGTCTGCCATAGACTTGCGGTGGAAGAAGAAAAATGACGCTAACGGATACAATAGGTGCCACTGCACCTTCGGTGCTTGGCCCCTAATTATCTTTAATAAAAAATATATGTTTCAGTAATTTTTCAATAACGTCAAATTCAATCCACTGCCATTCAAAAAGTAAAAACTGTCTCATCATTGCTAGCATGATCATCTCAGACAGGAAACACTTTAAGTATCAACAAGAGAGAAGAAAACAAGACAGGCAAATTCAATTCAGCCTAATTTAATGGAGCCGGCTGGGTGTAATGGATTACAGTTTGACTGAGTGATATGTCTGAACGCCAGAAAGCATAAATGTACAAAACGGTTTCACACAAATCACCTCTGGCTCAATAAATAGCGAGTCCAGATCCAGTGATAAGTCCAAGTATATACTTCACATCAGTCTTGGGCTTAAATTACACACCAGTTTGTGCTGACACAATGTGAACATGACATCAAACTGTGTAAAGAGACTTCTAGGTAAATAGGGAGAGCAGTTGAGCGCTCTGTGCCCGTGTTGGGCCGTCATGTGTTAAGTAGGTCAGTGTGTTAAAGTGCCAGTCACTACTGTGTATATTTGCCAGTTCAGCTCAATCATTGTAACACATCGTGAGTTTGGATCTAGTGACATAACAAAATTCACAGGCTTTGATATCAAAATGAGCACGGACAGGAAAAAATCTTGTAGGATTTTCTTAAAGTGGCACAGTCGGGTCAGATGGTGGGCAGACCCGCCGTCTAGATGACGTTGCCATTTTTAAAAAAAGCTCGCCTGTCCCCCTACAAAGAGCTAATTGGTTCCATATGGTGAAACTCATACCAGCTAGTGAAGGCAGGGGGCTGAAATGACTTGCACATGCTCCACCAAAATTACTTAAAGGTGAAGAAAGGCTAGCGAGGGAGAAAACCAGAGTTATCCAAGCCGCAGATTTGGATTCGCAGCACATGTTGTTTTTCCCATGTGCTCTGGAGATCCTGTACGGGAAAGGGATGCGTGCTGTGACCTACAAGCCCGTTTGAGTTGGGACAGATTAAATATGTATCAAAAGAACAGGCCTGTCCAAAACACATCAACTTGAAAAGCACATAAAAGACAATATAATGTTTTTCAAATTAATTTTTTAAATCAAGTCTTTTTACTGTTATTGCAAATAGCAGAACTATACTATGTGTCATGAAACTGCACAGGTATACGAAAGTTGAGGATCCAGACGCAGTATTTATTAAAGGAGTAATCCACAAAGTCCAAAAACAGGTAAAGGTTATAACACAGGCAATCAGTCCAAACAATAGCAACTAGGGCTGGGTTTTGACACAAATTTCACGATTTGATTCGATTCTCATTCACAAGCTTGCGATTCAATTCCCAATTCGATTCGATTCGATTCGATATAGATTATTTTGGATATAAATCAGGTACAGTACACGCCAAATTTTCTCAAGGAAAAAAATCTCTCAACTAATGCTGTAAAATATACATGAGAGTCAGTTGGTACTAAATTACAATAATACTGAAGGTAAAGATAAGACTGATTTGTAAAATTACACTAATAATAAAGTTACAATTACATAATATTTCTACTTCAATTCGTTTTTTTTTTTTAAACATAATGGTGGCTTTCATAAAAACATGATGGATTTATTCAAACATAACTTAAACATTGAAGAATATATATATATATATATAAAATTTAGATACTTTTAAGTTTTTTTTTCATATTTAGAATGTTTATTTTTAAATTT